AGTGTACAATTCCATATTTACGGGTAGGTACTTGGGACCATCATTATTGTCTCACAGTGACACACTTGTGACACATTTGGTATAGCTTCAATGTTTATGTTGAAGTCATCTACTTACAAGTGAATTTTTAAACCTGCCACATTCTCTTATGGATCTGAGGCAAATAAGGGATAGATTGTCTTTCCAGCAGGTACAATTCAAGCCTTTCAAGAACCGTTGATCAAAACAGCATGTTTATTTCTCTTTCTCTGTTTTCCAATTTTCTTTTGTTTTTACATTTTAGTTTTATGAACAGGTTTATTTCCATTACCATGTTAATAGCCAATCTCTCTCGTCTGTTGAGGTGTTTAATTTTGCTCACCTGCGGGCAATTGCATATAAAAGGGGATGAGCATCTCAATTCTGCAATCATGAAACTCCACGTATCCGTTCCCCCAGTGTACACTGGATGAGCCCTCAATCCATGTGTGCAGACTGCCCCTCTACTAGACACGTTGCCAAATGGAGTTTGCTCCAATTTGCTTAATCACTCAGCTGTAATTGAATCCTGATGGGAAGCTGGGTTTCCATCCAAAATTATACCCCTTCTCTTGCTGAGAAGGTGGTAAAGTAGCCATTTCTTCTCCCCAGGAGTGCCAGAACAGTTTGCAGGTGGTTTCATCCTTCCATCCTCCATGATGCTTTTCAGACTTGGAGGAATCATGATTTTGAGACTGTAGTTGCCATTGCCCAGGAAAATGTCTGTTGCTAGCTCTCAGCACCATTGTAAGCTTTATAGCAAAGCATAATGATCCACCCTTCCCTTCCTGTTCCCTATGCCACCTTTCTAAGAGCTCCATAAAAAAATGTTTGGCTAGAATATCAATGTACAAATTCTACTTCCACCTGAGTAGGCTATAACTAATATGGAGACGCCCAGGTGAATATGTCTCCAAATCTGACCACCTGCAGCAGTTTTACCTAGAGCAGCGTGGGTCCTAAGCTAACAGCATCAGCATCACCTGGGAACCTGTTCGAAGTATAAATTCACAGGCTTTACGCAAACTGACTGAATAAGAATCTCTAGAAGTGGGGGTTCAGAAATGTGCTTCACAAGCTCTTCTGTAAGTGTGAATTCAGACTTTTTGTTTGATGGTTTGTTTTTATTGCTGAGTTTAAGAGTTATTTGTATATTCTGGGTACATCCTTTTATCAAAAATATACTTTTAACAAAGCCTCTGGCTTTTGCTTTCATTTTCTCAATGCTGTCTTTCACGGAACAAAAGGTTTAAATTTTCACAAAATTCAATTTACCGTTTTTTTTCTTTGTAAATTGTGCTTTGAATATCATATTCAAAAACTCATTGCCAAACCCAAGGTCATATTGATTTTCCCTTTTGTTTTATTCTAAAAGTTTTCTAGCTTTATATTTAACCCTTGGGTCTATTATCCATTTAGGTTTGATTTCTGTATAAGATATAAGGCAAGATTTATTATTTCTGCTAAGAAAATCCAATTATTTCGGCATCATTTGTTGAAAAAACTATCGTTTTTCCTTTGATTGCCTTTGCACGTTAGCCAACAATCAGTCGACTATATTCCTGTTGGTATACTTCTGAGCCTCTATTTTCTTCTCTTGATTCAACTATCTATACTTTTTACCAATGTAACACTGCTTGATTCCTGTAGCTTGAAAGTAAGTCTTAAACTTAGGTGGTGCGGATCTCCAATTTTGTTATTTTTCAGAATTGTTTTGGCTTTTCTATTTCCTTTACCTCTCATATAAATGTTAAATGAGATGTTGAAGTCTATAAAAATAAAAAGTTTGCTGAGAGTTTGACATAGATAGCATTAAATCTATGGATAGATTTGAGAAGAATTTACTCACATTTTTAAAAAGCCTTTTAGCCATGTTTTTCAGTTTTCGGGATACAGATCTTGCACATATTTGTTACCTAAGCAGGACTGTTTTGTCGGTGATACTGTTAAATGGCATTGTCCAATGTAAAATTCCAGTAGTTCCTTGCTCATATATGATTGACTATTATATACTGAGTTCACATCCTCCAACCTTGTTGCACTTATTCTAGGAGAGTAAGTGGCACTTAACAATAATAAGGCACTTAATTTAGGGGATTTTTTGATAGTTTTTTTCTTGGGGGAGGCGGATTTCTATGTCCTATGTACATAGAACTGATTTTACTTTTTCCTTTGAAACATATATAGAGTTTTTTTCTTCCCCCATCCCCCCACCCCACTCCTCATTTTGGCAAGGGCTTCTAATACAATATTGAACAGGATAGGGCAACTTTGCTTTGTGGTCTCTTACCATTAAATGTGACACTAGCTGTAGGTTTTTTGTAGTTACCTATTATTAGGCTAAAGAAATTCTCTTATAATTCTAGTTTACATAGTTTATGAGAGAGAGATAGAAGAGAGAGAGAGAGTTTTGTTAAATACTTTATATGTATGTATTAAGGTGCTCATGTTTTTTCTTATTTAGTGTGACAATATATGAATAATAATGATTTTTCAAATAATAAATTAGTCTTGTTCTTTGACTAAAACCTACTCAATCATGATGTATTTTTTTTAAATATATTGCTGGATTTGTTCTCTTAACATATTTTTAAGAATATTTGCAAATATATTCCAAGTAATATTGTCTGTTTTTTTATTTTTGTTTGATAATATCTTTTCCTGGTTTATATATTAGGTAATACTGACCTCATAAAATGAGTTATATTCTCTCTTCTTCCATTTTCTGAAAGAGAGTTCTGAATGAGATTATGTTTTATGTCTTCATTCACTTATAGAATTCATCAGTAAATCCATCTGAGCCTGAATCTTTATTTTCTGAAAGATTTTTAAACTATGAACTTCACATTTTTAATGTATATAGCACTATTCAGATTATGCCTTCAGTTTTGGTACTTTGTATCTTTCAAGGAATTCTTTCATATCATTTACATAGCTGAACTTACTGATACAAGTTATTCCTAATATCCTCATGTTATGTTTTGATATCCATGAGATCATCAGGGTTACCCTTCTTTCATTCCTAAATAGGATCATAGGGTCATTTGTTAGCTCTCCCTTTGTGTCTCAGTCTGCATTTCATATTTATCAAGTTTATATACATTTTCAAAAAACAGAAGTTTTTTTTTTTTTTTTTCTTTTTTTTTTTTTTTTTTAAGAGCTGGGATCTTGCTATGTTGCCTAGACTGGTCTCCAACTCTTGGGCTTAAGTGACCCTGCCACCTCACTCTCTTGAATAGTGGAACTGTAGGTGTTCACAATTATGCTCTGCTAAAAATGCAGCTTTTGATTTCATTGCTTTTCTCTATTTCTGTTTTCAAACTCATTAATTTTTTGCTTTACCTTTTATGTCCTTTCTGCTTTTTTTTTTTTGTATTTACTCAGTTATTTTCTCTTACTTAAAGTGAAAGTTTAGGTTGCTGATTTTAGATGTTTCTTCTTTTCTAATGTAAGCATATAATGCTATGTTTCCATCTAAACTTTGTGTTAGCTGTAGTTTACAAATTTTGATATATTGTACTTTCATTTATATTTAGCTCAAAATATTTTTAAATTTTCCTTGACACTTCCTCTTTGACCTCTGGGTAATTTGGTAGTGTATTGTTTAATTTCCTAGTGTTTGGAGATTTTCCTGTTCTGTTATTGATTTCTACTTTGATTCTGTTACAGTCTGAGAAAATATATTATTTCTATGCTTAAAAATTGTTATTTGTATGGCTCAAAATATGGTCTATCTTAATAAATGTTGCATTTTTTTCTTGAAAAGAGTATGTGCTCTTCTGTTGTATGGGTTGTCAATTAGGTCAAGATGATTGATAGTGTTGTTTGATGGCTGTATTTTAAAGAAGGACACACAGGTGATTCCACGTATGCTGTAAGTTGAGAGCCGCATAGAGTAAGCTAACACTGGTTGGTATTCTAGTGTAATGGAAGCTCAATTTTGTATTCAATTTTATATTTGTCTGTGTTTGTGGAAGCCTAGAAGCTCTCACCCAGTTGTCCATGTTCTAGGTGTGAGCTTGTTGATTACAAATATCTCCCAAACATATTACACATTAGAGTAAGGTTTTTTCACCTGTCTCTGCCCCTGGGTCTTGTGCTCCTTGGATGGTTGTTGGGATTTTTCTACAAATATTTCCTCTATCCTTTTCATCAACACTGGCTTTTCTTTAAGTGTGTTTTATAAAATGCTACTAAGCAAGAAGCAGGGAAGTAAGATGTATACACATTACTTGGTAAACTGATGCATATTTCTCCATCTTGACATTCATAATGTCAATTAATATTATAATAGCTCAGACAAGTTTGGAATTAACACATTTCTGTTCCTCCCTTTCCCTAACATAAAATCAGCAATACTAAATACTTCATAAAATTTTTAAGAGGACTAAATGAGATGACATCTGTAAAACACTTAATGTTGACTTGGGCACATAATAGGTTGTCAATAAAAGTTTTTTTTCTTATGTTCTTGGTTTTTGTTTTATTCCGTTTATTCCACTGGAGTTGATCTTTAGAAATAGAGATGGGTATAAACATACAAAAATTTCTGCCAATGCAAACACCACAAAAGTCACTGAGATACACAGAGATACCTGTTGTAGTTTCTTTATTGTAGTTTACTTCTTGTAGTGTTAGTAAGGGCTATGGCATTCATTTAAAAAATCTTCTTAAACCCACCCACTTTTTTTTCCTACCTAAACCTGCCTCCTCAGAATTCATATCATTGGTATGGCTGGGAATAATTAGACATTTGTAAGTGTTCTATGAAGAGAATGATGTGCAATACCATGGAATGTGCATTTAGTATGTTGTTCATACTTGGGACTCAGCATGATGTCTTATGCCTTCCTCGCTCAGCAACAGCATCAAGAAAGTACTGTGTATCCAGGATACAAAATCTCCTCCTCATCTACCTTCCTTAGCTCCTTTGACATCTCTGTGGGAACATTATTGACACTATGTTTTCTTTCCTTAAACAGGCGGACTCTGCATTGCCCAGTCCGTGAGAATCCCCCAAGAACGCAAAGACAGGACCATTGACTTTGATAGAATTATCAAACAGCTCCTGGACACCCCCAACTCCAGAGCCGTCGTGATTTTTGCCAACGACGAGGATATAAAGTAAGAATAACTGGTGAAATTTGTTAATATGCACATTGCAACTTTAGGAGAAAAATTAGGCTGCTGGCTGAGACCGGAAAAGATAGCATAAGATCAAAGCTGTAATTATGTAGTGGCAAAGTGTGTGCTTGCCTTCTACCCCAACACAATATAGCCACAGTTAGCCATGGAAGTAGTAGTGTGTTATGGTCACTTATTTTCCCTCTGTTAGCAAAATAAGTGTATTTAATTATTTGTAAAAAGGAAAAAAAAAAAAACTCTAGAACTTTTAAAGGTGCTTTTATTTTAAAATCTTTTTCAAATATATTAATAACAGACTTTTATCCAGAAGATGATTCTCCTAATGGAAAAGAAAAATGTCTTAAAATTCTGGTTTTATTGCTAGTGCCTTAATTTCAGTAATACCTCTACATTGTCCAATCCACTTTTTATTTATTTTTTCTTTTCAGAACTTGATCATTCTTGGACTCAAAAATCTGCTTGTAATCTTGACTTTCCTTTTTTTCCTCATTCCTTGCATTGTTGGTGAAGCCACATAGAAGCAAGCTTTGACATGTTTCCACAATGTAAATGTCTCTTGCTTTATTTTCTGACCCCTACCAACCTGATCCAGAGTCCTTATTTTTAGAATTTTTAGGATATTTATTTTTATATTTTTAATTTTTAGAATAAACAGTAAATACACATGATACAAAATTTAAAATAAACATATAATTTCTATCTTGTCCCATAGCTAAGTTCTCTCCAGGTACGATAACCAATTAAAAGCTTCTTGTATATCCTTGTACAGGTGTTCCGTATATATGCTAAAGGGATGTGCAGCTTATATTTACACAAATAGTAGTAGAATATTATGTTTATTCCTGTTTGGCACTTTGTTTATCATTTTACATGGCAATCACTGAGTATCAGTACCTATACATCTACTCAATCTTTTCAATAGACATGTAAAGTGAAATTCTGCCTAAGTACTGCAATTTCTCTAACTGCTCACTTATTAACTGACATTTAATTTGGATTACAGACTATTGAAATTATAAATAATGCTGCAATTAATTTCCTTTTGCATAAATATGTATATAAATGTAAATAGAAAAATATGTTAACCTACAATGTATTATACAATATATAAATTTATAATAATGTGATATAAATATACAACATGCAGATATACTATATATCATATTTATAAATTCCTATTTAAAAATTTCTAGACAAAGGTATTTCTCTTCTTAAAAATATATAAATATTGTCTCCCACAGAAGTCATGCCAATTTACAGTTCCATTGGTGCAAAAGATCTATCTGTATGTGTTTTAAATCTTTGTCTGCCTTATAGTTCAAAATAATATATCATTGACTTTGAAGGTGAATATCTTTTGTCAAGGGTAAAGTTTAATGACTTGAGCCCTTAAATTACTGCTTGGATTTTTGCAGTGTCTTTACCAGTAGTGTCTCAAACCTGTCTCTCGCCCTGCATTGTGTATCCGAGACACTGCCCCTGAATCCATCCATCTCCCAGCATAAAACTCTGATCACTGGTGTGGTGGCAGGGCTGTTAAATGGAAGAGTTTTGAATTTGTAACTGAGGATTATTTGCTACTTACATAACGGGCACTGTCTGACCTTGGGTAAGTTCCTCCCACTGCCTTCCAAGTTCTTTGGCCCTCAAGTCTCCTACCAATAGAATGACCATCCTTTAGAGTTCAGTTTTGGGTGATCTGGCTGTATCAGTTTCTAGTCTTACTCTATTCCAAATTCCCTCACATTTTGCCTACTGCAAACACAGTGCTGTGATATAATCTCCCTCCCAGGTCTGCATGCATTCTTTTCCCCCTCCCTGGCCCACTTTTCCTTCCCTGCTTCACCACCTCAATGCTATCTCTAGTGCCAACCTGAGGGAAGATTTCTCTGATCAACATCACTTTGGAAAATTCTTCATACTCAATCAGTTTCATTGTTTATGTCAATGGTGTTGTTTTTATTGTTGGATTGTTTAATTCATGTATGTATTCTTCACTAGTCTGTAAACATTAGGGCAGAAATGAAACCACTTTCAACTTGCTTTTATATTCTCAATAACTATCCCAGTGCTCAGCACATAGTAGAAGCTCAATAAATGGCATTGAACAAGTGAACAAAATTCCAAACCTAATGTTTCATATTTAATAATTTAACAATAAGCTTCTTTTTCTGAACTTCGTAGTGATTTAAAATGTGGTCTCATTTTTACAGTTTAGGCCTCATCTACATTCATGCAATTCTCCATCCAAAATGCATAACTCTGACTTTCCAATTTGTTCTGATTACTTCTCCATCATGGTCTTTGCTCATGATGTTTTTTTCCCTCCTTATCTATCTATCTAACTTATGTCTTTTCTTCAAGGTCTATTTCAAGCGTTCCCTTCTCCAGTCATGAAGAACTGATTCTGATTGTGATCATCCCTTAAATGTATCATTTCTATCCTTACAAAACTCTCTTGGGGCATTTTCCCTCACTTTGTATTTTAGGTATCTATGAGATTTTTGTTTTCATTTTACTCTTTCTGTTCCAGTACTTTTTTAAAAAGTTCTGCTAATACCATTCTTTTTCATCTCATAAGTCTTTTTAATACCTATTTTACACTTTTTCTAAATACATAATGCGTTAGTAAGATTTGGCTTCATGTTTATTTTTTTTTCTTTTTTTTTTTATTTTTTCTTTTTTTTTCCCCATTTATTTTATTGCATTTTAGGTTTTGGGGTACATGTGAAGAACATGAAAAATTGTTGCATAGGAACACACATGGCAGTGTGATTTGCTGCCTTCCTCCCCATCACCTACATCTGGCATTTCTCCCCTTGCTATCTCTCCCCAGCTTCCCACCCCCCACCCTCCCTCCCCTATTTCCCCCCAACTGACCCCAGTGTGTAGTGCTCCCCTCCCTGTGTCCATGTGTTCTCATTGTTCAACACCCGCCTATGAGTGAGAACATGCGGTGTTTGATCTTCTGCTCTTCTGTCAGTTTGCTGAGAATGATGGTTTGCAGAGAATGCAAATCAAAACTACATTGAGATACCATCTCACGCCAGTTAGAATGGCGATCATTAAAAAATCTGGAGACAACAGATGCTGGAGAGGATGTGGAGAAATAGGAACACTTTTACACTGTTGGTGGGAGTGTAAATTAGTTCAACCATTGTGGAAGACAGTGTGGAGATTCCTCAAGGACATAGAAATAGAAATTCCATATATCCAAAGGATTACAAATCGTTCTACTATAAGGACACATGCACACGAATGTTCATTGCAGCACTGTTTACAATAGCAAAGACCTGGAACCAACCCAAATGCCCATCGACGATAGGCTGGATAGGGAAAATGTGGCACATATACACCATGGAATATTATGCAGCCATCAAAAACGATGAGTTAGGGTCCTTTGTAGGGACATGGATGAACCTGGAAACCATGTTTATTTTTAAATAGGTTGCACAAGACACCTAAAAGGTCTACTACAAATAGTTCTGTTGACTAATTGTTTATAATACTCTTGACTTGCAGGTAGTGTGAGTTTTTCCTGTTTGGATGTAATATGTGTATAGCCCTTTCAATAATTATGCCCATTCGTTTTGCATTAGACTTGTGTGTTAAATATTATTTTATATTGTCATTCATAATAGTGATGACAATTATTGAGCACAGTACTAAAAGCCAACAGCATATAAAAATTTCTTCTAAAACATGGTCTTATACACACTAATGTCTGAAGTATAGTGATAACCTGTAATGTTACATTATTTCATTTTTCGGAAGATTTACATTGTAGATGGGAAAATTTGAGGTTTCTTGGAACATTAACTTCAAATAGTTTGACAAAGGATAGCAGTGAGAAGACATTAATATAAACATTTTAAAGCTAAGTGCTAAATCAGTCATGGGTATTGATAATTTGGATTTTAGACAAGAGTGGATTCTTTTTCTGAAATAATTTATTCTGATTATAAAAGAAACACATGCTCATTGTAAATCCACTGCGAAAGAAAGATTTTTTGTTTTTTAAATAAGAGGAACCCTTACATTTTACTTTGCCCACAATTTGCTAAAAAAATTAAAGGTTAAACAGAATAATCACAAACAATAATTTTAAATAATCCTCTATAAAACCTGCAATTCCAACACTCAGAGATAACTGCTAATAAAATTCTGGTTTAATGTTTGCAATAATTTTTTTATACATACCCAAGTTTTCTCCAACAGAATAAAGATGACATAGAATTTTATGTCATTTTTGCAATTCGTACCATAGATTAATCATTTCATATCACAGTATTTTTAATGCTTTAATTATATTTATCCTTATAGCCCCTAAATTTTACATAAATGTATTAAACTGAACATACTTTTCCGTTATTATCAATTTTGTTTTTTTATGCTAAAAATTCTTTTTTTTTTTTTTTTACATTTTAGGTTTTGGGGTATATGTGAAGAACATGCAAGATTGTTGCATAGGTACATACATGGCAGTGTGATTTGCTGCCTTCTTCCCCTTCACCTATATCTGGCATTTCTCCCCATGCTATCTCTCCCCAACTCCCCACCCCCCACTGTCCCTTGACGGTCATTTTCTGTTTTACTTGGCTTCTCCCTACCTTTTTTATCATCTTCAAACTTTATCAGCACCTCCCCAAACTTGTCAGTAAAAATTGTATGCCATTGTATGTTTTCTGTGATTCGATGTGAGTCTCTGCTTTTAACCATGTGTATACAGGCAATTTGGGGCCAGCTTTTGTTCTATGAGAATTAAATAATCTTTTATCATGTATTTAATTTTAATTTTCTTTTTTAATATCTAGTATCTAGTTTGATACTTTGTGGAAATCAAACTAAGTCTATTTTTAATTTCTCTAGAATTCATCCTTTGGGTGTATTATCATTTTTCAAGCTGGTTTCCCATTGCTCTGTATTTATGTTAACTGCAGTAATAAACATTTTGACAGCATCTTTGATCATTTTTGGATACATTATCAAAGTGGTATGTCTAGGCCAAAGTATAAATATTTGATTGTTCAATTTTTATGAAAATAATACATAAATGACTAAAGCCCTTTTGATGAAAAACATTAGTCTCTTGTTCCATCTCACCATACTTTCTGGTTCTGTTCTCTTGGCAGTTACTTTAACTCTTTACACTATTTCTTCAGTGTTATCTGTATAATGTACACATTTTACAACTTTGGAACTATTTTAAATATTGTATAATTCTTATATTAAATAGAACTTATTTCTATCTCCCCTGTAATCATAATATTCTATCAGGTTTTAATTTAACAAAGATCAGTGTTTACATTATTGTGATTATGTAAGTATCATGCACTATAGCGTCGAGTATTTTTTCTATGGTATTTTTTTGGGGGGGGAATTTTGGTACTTTTTGTTTTTTGGAGTCAATATGACAGTCTTCATAGTTTCATCATTATCTTAATATCTTTTCTATTGTTATAGGCCTTTCATTTTCTCCATATGTTCATGTATAAGAGTATCTGAGTTGCCTTATTTTTCATGAATACTTCTTTCCTGAAATCTCTATCAATCTGTGTAATCTGGACCATCATTTGAAGAGTTTATTCATCATACTTTCTCTTTAGTTTCATCACTTCCTTTTTTTTCTGGATGCTAACTGATTTTTATTCTTGGTTTATTTCCTCATTTTGCTAGTACATATCCTATAGCTTTTTTAAAAGTTAAGGGAAAACTTTTTTGTGTGTTTTATATCTAAAAATGTTCTCATTCTGCCTTTACCGTTAATTAGTGCTTTGTATGGTAATGTGTGACCTCATATTTATTTTTATTAATAAATGCATCATAACTGGTAAAGAAGTGATTTACAACAAATAGCTTTGGTGACTAATAAGTTGCCAAACTCTTAACTTATAGGGAACTTAGGGATCTAATTTCATATAATTGTGGTTGGAAAAATCTAAAAGAGTTGCTGAACAAATATGCAAATCCACTTGTACTGGGATTCTTTGTGTGTTAATATTAAAATTTAGAGTAAAGTCTCTTAGTCAGAATTTTGAAGGCTTTGTTCCATCATCCATAATCTTTTCTTTTGCCTCTTGAGAGGTTAACAAGATAATTTTTTATTTTTCTACAGTTAACAAGATAATTTTTTATTTTTCTACATGTCTTCTCATTTTCTCTCAAAGAGCATTTAGAACATTCTGATTAATTACAAAGATTTTATATTTTGTGACATGCTTGATTTTCCTCCCATTATATTATGTGGTTGAATCATTAAACTTGAAAACTTAGATTTTCAATTTTTTGGATTTTTATTCATTAAAAATAATATTTAAAGATTACTCTATTTTCTGTGTACATTTTTTTTCTCTTCATATTAGCTGGATACAGGTCTTCCTGGATTGATTATTGATAAGAGGAAAAAGAATCATTTCTTCTTATTTATTTTCAAACTTTTTGTTATTGTTTTGCTTTATGGAAAATTTTCTTCACTTTGTACCTATGCTAACGTAATTTTCATTTCATATTTTTAACAGGAGCTGTTTCTTTTTGGTCACTTTTTTATTATTTTGTTCTTGATTACAGATATGATAATTCTCATTTAAATGTATTTATCATTTTGGCTTTTTCCATATGTTGTCTCTGCTCCACTCCACACATTTCCTTTTTCTTGTTAATTTTTCTCTTTGACAATGGAGATTTCCCTCAAAAATGAATGTCTTCTGGCAATTCACATATGAGTAAGGCAGTAAAAAGCTCTGTGCCCATGGGAGGTGCATGAGAACTGATGGGGTTCCCAGAAAATCAGATTGGCCATTACATTAGAGGACTTCTTTAACAATATCTAGAGTCTACTTTTTGATATACATCAGATTTTTACAGAAAAATTGTTTTCTGCCTGGGGGTGACATACCTCTGGTTCCCAGCAGTTTGTGAGCAGAAGTTTAAGATTCCTAGAGAATCTTAAAATTTCAATTTCTATTATATTGACTTTTAGTCATTCTCTCCTAGCCCCAACTCCAGATTTATCACACCATGTTTTATCTACATTTTACCATTTGGGTGTTTACAGTATCAAAACCTATTCCTTATGCTTTTTTTTTTTTTTAAACTGCTATTTCCTGCCTGGAAGAAAAAGGTGTAGAACTGGCTTTTGCCACCTTATTCACAACCTTTCACCCTGTCTTCCTGCATGTGGCCCTGTAACTCTGTGGTGCCTGATTCTCCCAAGTACTGAGAGACACCCAAATCACATATCTTGCGGTCTTACCCACCAAAGGGGCTTCAGTTGTAGTTGCAGCTTTTTCTATTCTACAAATGAGTTACATCTCATAAATCTCCTCTTTCAAAAATACTATTGCAATAACTTTTTCGTTAATAACTAGTTTCCTTTTTTCTTTTATTTGCACTGCTTGTCGTGATTATGTACATATAATACTTTCATTCATCCACAAGTTGTAAATTTTTCATGTTTAACAGAGTTTACTGTAATAAATAATTAACATATTTAATTCATAGTTATATTGCTTTTCAGAGATAATATATACCACCAGCAGTGAATGAGAGTGCTCATTTCTCCAGTCCCAAGCCAAAACTCATAAAACAAACATTTTGGCCAATATGAGAAATGAATTTGGTACCTTGGTCTAATTTGCATTTCCATCTTTTCTAACATATGTAAATATGTATCTTCACCTTATTGGACACTCGTATTTCTCCTTTTATCTTTTAACGTTTACTATTACTTGCTCATGTTTCTCAAAATGCTTTATCTTTTTTGTTGTTGTTGTTTACAAAATATCTTTATATATTAGGGATGTAAATTCTTTATCATATTTTTTGCAATTATTTACTGTTTGAGAAAGAATAGTACCTTTCCTTTTGCTGACTCTTAATATACACAGGTTCAGCTGATGTTCTTTATAATTAACATAACTTTCCATATTTCTTTCCACAGGCAGATCCTTGCAGCAGCCAAAAGAGCTGACCAAGTTGGCCATTTTCTTTGGGTGGGATCAGACAGCTGGGGATCCAAAATAAACCCACTGCACCAGCATGAAGATATCGCAGAAGGGGCCATCACCATTCAGCCCAAGCGAGCCACGGTGGAAGGTAGGGGTTTCGTCAGCAGTAGGTTTGCTGAGAGGGGTTCTGGTGTCATGATGAATGGCCAATCATGTGACTTTTTGGGGGTTTACCATTTTTACCAAACTCATGCCTGGTTGATTCAAACTTCTGACCATGAAATGCAAATGAGGCCACACACCTGCTCTGTTCTTTTAGTTGAAATCCTCCTTTGAAGATATCATATTATTCTCATACTATCACCATTAGCAATTATTCTTTTTCATTCATGCCACAGAAACTTTCTGAGAGGAGAGCATTGTCGTTAATAAGAAGTAAAATAATAACACATCCAAGTGTGTATAAATGATATACATTTTCCAAGAGAATACTTTCCCTTTGTAATGCATCTATTATATATTTTTTTAGCAGGACTGCAAGAATCCTTTCCCCTATTACCTCTCAAGTCCCTTCCAGCTCAGGGAGGCTATAACACAGCACATCACTTCTCTCAGGCACCAGCGTCCCCTCACCTCCCCGGAGAGTTTTCACTCTCTCCTTCTCTTACCTTTCTAAATTTATGCCTCTTTCTTTGCCTTACTTGCTACTACAAAGATATTTTAAGAGGTAGAAGTATGAAAGAATATCTGTTGCCACCCTCTAATCTAACAAAAGTTGCTGATTATAATTTCTGTTATTCTCTAATTCGGAAAGAAAAGTTATTTCTAAAAGACACTGTGTAAAGAAAAAGGAACTCCTCTGCTGATAGCCTGCTTTGTGTTCCTTTTCTGATGGGCCATGTCTCTAAAGATTCTCTAAAACACGCTTTGCACGTTAAAAAGAACTCTATCCTTTCACTCAAAAAGGGATCAAATATTTGCATTTTCTATTTTCTCTCCACTCAAATCTAATTAATTATTCTCCCCAGAAGGCTGCATGGTCTGTGTAAGCTTTTTAGACAAATCAGGTTGTGGTTCTTTCACTGTTTCCTTTCTGTTATCTGGAGGAGATAAAGATCCCATGAGTCACCCATGTTTCCATTGGGAGGCTTTGAATTAATTTCATTCCCCAATATAGAACCAGAAAAGATTGCCTGTCTTACAATCCAGACCAATGCATTTCCAGGTGGATTGTAAGAATGAAGGACAGTATTTTAACTATGTCCATTCCTTGCACTGAAAAAGCTGTGTGTCTACTGTGTGCCTTGCTCAGTGCTAGGAGTCAGGAAAACAAAAGATGAGGACTCAAAATTCTCACCCTCAAAGTATACAGAACTGAGTAAGGTGTCAGAGAACAGCCAATGACTACATGGGAAACATAATAAGTGCAGTTCGGAGAGCACAAATAGAGAGTTACCAAGGAAGTTTCCTTAGGGTGGTGATGTTCTGGTTGGGGAAGATATCCTTGGATGCAAGAAGTGATAACTGAGAAGGAAGTTCCCTGGGAGATGAAGAAATGTGAAGGAACAGGACGCATTGGGGAAAATATAAATAATTCTTTCTGTAGTGCAGTCCTGCACTCCTGTCTTCTTGAAATCCTTTCAGTTCTTTAAGAATGTTCGTACTTACAAGACATTGGAGAGACCCTTTTCTCTTCTAGAGTATTAATTATTGCTACACCATTTGGCTGATTGACTTCTATATATTTTAGGGGTTTCATCTTAGGTGTTAATTTTGCATGGGAGCCATCTGTGGCCATCTCACCCCAACCAAGTCTGTGTTAGAAGCCCCTTCCATTCCTTCTATGGCATCCCACACACATCGCCTACTGCCGAAACTACCTCTTTACTTGTCTCTGCCTAGAAATATCTCTATTATGCACCATCGTACCTCCAGTACATGGTTCTTTGCTGAAAATTGTAGATGTTCAAACACATTCTTCAGTGATTATATGTCCAGAGGGATGGAGGAATCACAGATCATATAAAGACCTGGCACAAAATACATTTGAAAGTGGGCCGGAAGTTGCATTGCAAAGTATCTTGAAAGCTATACTAAGGAGTTCGTACTTCATGCTGAAAGTCTGAAGAGTTTCTGAGTGTGTGAGATGTGATGGGAGGATGTCAGATGGATTAGAAACTCAGTTGACTCTAAGGAAGGGTGAAAGGCAAGAGATGGGTGAGATACCAGGCAAAGTAAGAACTTTTAGGGCTTCAACTGAGGTCCTCTCTTCCTAGACCGTAGATGCCATGTAGACACAATGCACATATTCCATGGTCATTAAGCCCTGATACCTTATATTTTAGGGAACTCACTGGGTTATCTCAAAGGTTTCATAAATTATTGAGAGAAAATACTCTTTTAATGTAGATATAGAGATATACAAATTTACAAAATCAAAGAACAGCATCATGAACTAGCAAAATAAAAATTATGATTCCAAACAATGAAATTGGAGAGAAATGTTATTAAGAAAAACAAGACTATAATGTGATGGAATAGAAACAGTTTATAAGAAATTTTATAATCTCACCCACAGAAGAGGAAAGATTTTTTGTGACCATGTAAAAAAATGCTGTGGCTTCCAACTAGCCATATTGACTAGGTGCATGCATTATCCACAGAGAACAACCAAGCTTTGTTCACTTTCGTAGCAAACAGAACATAAGTGGCTATGCATTTAAAATGTCACTTCTATGAAAGTAAAAAAAAAAATGCATTCAGTTGTGCCAAAGCTTCTGAACAGAATTATGAAATATCCAAAATAAATCTATAAATGGAGCATAACCTATGTGGCCAAGTAAGTTTTCCTATCCTGCCCTATGGTCATTTGCTTGTTTTCTTGTCTGTATCTTTGCATTTTTTTCCCGTTTTGCAGATGTTTCATACTGAATTATGCTGGGCTAGAATATTTTTCAAATATTCATGATACTGCTACATTCCTATATGTTTGACTATGTTATATAATGCTGTGCCCTCAAATGTAAGAGAAAAGTCATTCTGTAATCTACCTTTTTTCCCCTTTCGATCCATATCATGACTATGTTCAGCAAATAGCTGGATTTTTCCTGACATTTTCTGAGTATGCATCAACATAACCAGAAATTGTGTTAGGCCAAAATGCTGGCAAATTCATTGCCTCTTCGACAGTGACCTTTATCGTCTGTTTGTACTTATTCTTCATTTATGGAAAAAGAGAGCTTTAATGTTTCTTAACCAGTGTGTCATTTCCCCCCTTTTGATTTAATGATGAAAAGAGCCCGTTCCTGGAAGGGTGGGCTGTTGTCCCGCTGGCTGCCTAGTGTTTATGGGAAATCTGGGGAATGTCTCCAGAACTTGGCAGCACTCCTCCAGCTCCTGAGCCAAAACACTTCTGTAATTTTTAGTTTGTCTGCATTGTCTGATGAGCCAAGGAATCCCTGGCATTTTCCTCTCTCATGTGTTGCCCCATTAACTAGACTCTTAATAATCCTCTCCAGCATCCAGTGAGTCTGCAGAGTACTAATGGTCCATGTTGCCTTCAACTCTTCATTCTCCAAAGTGCTCTGCTTTTCTGAGAGTAGGCTGTCCTGGGTGTCCTCTAATTACAGCCAACAAGGGTTGTGGACCAGCATCTTTTCATGTCTGCCATACCCATTAACATTAGGAAGCTAGTCTAATGAAGGGTAGATTTTCAAAGCTAACTATAATGACTCTCACAATTGGCAATGATTTTCAAATGGGTTTATACAACAGCTTGGTTCATGAGTTAAATCTGCAATGTATATAGGAATAGACAAAAATACTGTGGACGGAGCATTAAAGAGCTAGCTTAAAAAAAAACAAAAAAAAACAAAAGAAAAACTCATGATTTTTACTTGTGATTGAATGAATTCTTTATTTTTCCTAAAACTGGAAATATCAAAGCTATGAAGATCTGAACTAAAATATTTCTGGCTCCAATTTAGATATGCCCTACTTTAGCTTTCCTTGATTACCTGCAATTTTCCACCTGTGTCTCAGGGGTTTTCTAGGTGAACGGGCAAAAAAACAAGAAAAAAAATATTGCCTTGAACCACAATGCTGTTTCTAAACAATGCATATGCCTTTTGGCCCTATCGCCTTGTTTGATAAGAGAGCAGTGAGATACTGCATGATAAACCTACACTCCTGCTATTTGTGATAGAGTGGGTTTCTGTCACTTGCAAACCAGACTACTTGAAAAAGTATGGTTGAACCCAAACTACTAGAAAACATGTTTGAAATCTTCTTCAGGGCCTTTTGTACCACTTTTTATGGTTTCTGAGTTATATCCCATCCAAGTGCCATTAACCCCACGTCATTGCCACTCTTTTTTTCTCCCTTTTCTTACCCCTCTCTCAAGAGATCTCTCTGCATTCTCTGAGCACCATTATAAGTCTCATCTACCCTCCCATGCTTTCCTTCCCTCATCACATCAGTCTTGTTCCACATCTCATCCTCTCAGATGTGCTGTGTCTATTCCACTGTGAAGCATCTGTCATGTATAATTAACTACTCTTTGTATATATCAAGGTTATTAAGTAGGATCTGAATGATAGGTTCATCCTTTATGAACAAGTAGGATCTGAATGATAGGTTCATCCTTTATGAACAAGTGCTGGAGGTCAAGAATAAAACAGTAAATTAAAAACAAACAAACAAACAAACAAAACTTTAAAAAAAAGTAGATTCAAATATACCTGAGAAATGTAGATGAACTATGTGGTCATTCTCCAGAAACCTAATTGAGAACTGAGAAGAACTTTTAGAGAGAACTTCTTCTAAAGGAAGAATGATAAAATGAGCAAGACCAAGTAAGTAGGTTTTTGTTGTCAAAAGGAAAAGACAAACTTCCCTCTTCCAAGGCCATTGGGCTCCTAGGTGAAATCCCATAGGGAACAGGCAGACAGACCATACATAAGAAAGGATCTCAGTCTGATAGGCTAAGTTACATAGTGGCAATAGATAGGCTCTCAGTGAACTAACAGAACACATGAGTATTTCTCACCTATGTACAGTCTTCTGTGGTTCTGGGAAACTTCCCAGGGCATTTATCCTCCCTGTATTTGTTCTGCAGTCTAGTCCATTTCAATCTTATGGCCCTTGTGT